TATCTTTGATTGAAACCATGATATAGTATTGTGCACATGCACAGCAGCAGCACAAACTCTGCCTTTCAACTTCTTACACTAATTTTGTCTGGTACGTCACTCGTGGCTAAAGAAGGAATCTCCTTTTCGTTCTCTTGTGCTCTTATTGTAAAGATAGTACGTGGCTTAATTATTACTATATTATTTATATAGCACCAACAAATTCCGCAGCACTTTACAATGGGTGGACGGACAGACATATAGTTGTAACCAGACAAGTTGGACACACAGGAACAGAGAGGTTGAGGGCCCTGCTCAATGAGCTTACATGCGAGAGGGAGTGGGGTAAAGTGACACAAAAGGGAAGGATAGTATTAGACTAGTGACAGTTGCAAGAGAGGAATCAGTCGGGAGCTATTAACAGTTTAATTGATACGCTTTTATGAAGAAGTGGGTTTTTAATGATTTTTTTGAAGGAGTGGTTAAATGCAGGGTTACTTAAAGTAATCTAACCTGCTTGTATTAAAAGACCACTCTAGGCACCCAGACCACTTCAGCTTAATGAAGTGGTCTAGGTGCCAGGTCCAGCTAGGATTAACCCATTCTTTTATAAACATAGCAGTTTCAGAGAAACTGCTATGTTTATGAATGGGTTAAGCCTTCCCCCAAAGCCTCTAGCGGCTGTCTCATTGACAGCCGCTAGAGGCGCTTGCGTGATTCTCACTGTGAAAAAATCACAGTGAGAGCACGCAAGCGTCCATAGGGAAGCATTGATAATGCTTTCCTATGCGACCGGCTGAATGCGCGCGCAGCTCTTGCCGCCTTCAGCCAACAGGGAGGAACGTAGGAGGAGAGCTCCCCGCCCAGCGCTGGAAAAAGGTAAGTTTTTACCCCTTTCCCCCTTCCAGAGCCGGGCGGGAGGGGGACCCTGAGGGTGGGGGCACCCTCAGGGCACTATAGTGCCAGGAAAACGAGTATGTTTTCCTGGCTCTATAGTGGTCCTTTAAGTTGGAGAGTTATTACATCCATTGGCTGTTATAATAGTCTACTACTACCTATGATTGCTAATACATTTTTTAAGGGGGTTAGCAGAGAACACATTTCCACTACTCCAGAGTCCAACCATAACCACTTCTTTACCACTCCATTACTTAGCCATCATAGGCCTCTGCGCTTTGCCACTGGGCCATGGAAACCTATTTCATGACACTCCTAATGAACATATAAGCATGAAATGTTTTTAAAAATTTTTTTCCAATTAAAATTATTTGTTTTTTTAAATTGGGGTGAGATCTCACTTGCCAAAGCCTTCATATACATTTTAAAAAAAAGACAACAGACCATCACATGAAAAAATAAAAATAAAAAAAAGGTTAACACTGGTCAAAAGTAAATTTTCCAATGTTGTATTCAATGCTGTGATTTCAATACAAATCACAGTTCTAACATAATGAGTCTGCTCTAGACACAGTAATTAGACAAGCTGACATGTTAGAAAGGTAGCAAACTATGATGCAGCTTTAACAATCACTCTGTCTGTGCAGTACAGACCATTTCTCTCCTAATGATGGTCTACGGAGGTTACGTTACTCTACCAAGATGAAGCAATGGGTACACATACAACTGGCCACGTCGTGTATGAAGACTGGACATTGTTAAATAATCAACACAGTACATAGGAACCTGTAGGATCTTTCCCACATCATTCTATACCTCAATTCTTCTGCAGAGCAAAACAGTAACAAAATAATTATAACAAGGAAATATGCCTATATTATAAACTCTGAAAAACAATCATTCTCGAACAAAATATATGCAGTTTGTTATTTGCATTAACAGCTATCTACATATATGATACAGATATAAATATAAAGACGTATTTAAATCAGATTATTTTATGAGATTCACTGCCTTATTTATATTTGAATTTCCTGAAACTAAAACCCATATCTTTAAACATAGTTTTACTGATCGAGATAAAGAACACAATACAAGACATTTATTCTATAAAGCTTTTAAATTATGCATTTTATTCACTAAAACTAAAATTGTGCAGGAATGACCAACTAATTGAATATTATTGCCCCGAATTAGCCATTTTTTTTTCCTTTTGGCTAGTTTGACCTCCCCAATTTAAGTTAATAAATATTGTACAATACATTTCACTGGCTTGCTGCTGTTGATTGTTATTTGGTTAGGGTTACAAACATACATATAATTTAACGTTACTTAACGGGTACCAGTGATACCAGAATGGGTTTAGGAAAAAGTGAAATAATACAGTTATTTGTCTTTTTTTGGATCAACAGCAAAAAAAAGAGATGTAAGAAAGGTTGACCTTGACCGACGTCTCTTTTCAGCTATGTAACTATGCAAATAAATGTGTCATATGTAGGTCTGACATGTGCACCACGTATAGAACGACATACAACAATACAAGTTTAGATATTTGGAGCCACAGGAAAAACTATACACATGCACCATAGTCAGTAGCCCAATATTTTCTATATTCAATATGGAAATTATCTTCATAATAATACCATTCAAATAGGATTTGTTTTTCGCCAAAAACACTTCTATAATTTGGATTCTCTCCCCTTTCACCCTAATTTTCTATTGTTCTCTGACTGGTACTCCCCCCACATTCATGTTCTGCTCCATTTTCTTTCTGGATTTTCAAAGCAGCAATTTTCTCTGTAATGGAACAATTTTCTATACTTATGTGCAATCAGGTAGAGAGGAAGAGAGAAAGAGAGAGAGGAGGGGGAAGGGTGCCCCATTATCCAGGGCTTGGGCTGCAGGGAAAAGAAGTGGGTTAATATTTGCCTGTAGAAAAAAAAAAAAGAGGCAACAGAACCACATACTGATGGGCTTAGAGCATAAATATTGGCAAGGAAAAGGCAAATATTCACACGTGTGACCTTCAGAACCACAGCTAATTAGATTCGCTTCCAGAGATGCTTCACTATATAAACCACCCTGAATGAAATGGGAGAATGCCCTTTTGGAAGTTACAATATCACTAACCTAGTTTTAAATAAATACACAGCATCCCTCCTCCCACATGGTCTTGCTCGAAGCGAGACCGTCGCCAACAAGACAAAAACAAAGCTTCGCTAATGAGATGAACAATATTATAACGGTTTCATGGAGGCCAGCTGATAAATAAAACCCAATGGTTTTTAATGAGCAAGATTAAGTATGCGACATCCTCCAAAGATATTCTTTTTGAATACAGATATTATTAAAAAATGTCCATCATCCACTATCAAAGAGTCATCAGCCCATCTAAAAATACCAATTCACAAGAGGGTAAAGATTGTAATTTAGATATCTACTCCTTTGGGTGATTCTTCTTGTGGTCCACGTATCTCATACGTATACAGCATTTAAAGCGACACTCCAAGCATCACAACAACTACTAGAACAGATTATTCCCTGCCTAGAGCCGAAGGAGGTGGCCCTTACCTTGCAAAGGCGTTCGGGTAAATTCAGCTTCCTTGTTTAGCAGTTTGTATGACGTTAGCGTGCACCGTGTTTTCAGGCTGTGCAGAGAGTGACTCAGATTACCAAGTGTAGTGTTGATATAGATGTCCCGAATAGTAGACGTCTCAATACCGCCAAATCAACACAGACCCATATGGGCAGCAGCTGTCTCTGCTGATCTGGCAAGGTTATATTGCCCTGTAACCCAGTCGTCTGTACTGCTCAATGGAAGGTGTACACACACAATTCATGCTTACACCCTACAACAGGGGTGCCCAAAAGGTAGATCCCCAGATGTTGTAAAACTACAACTCCCATGATACTTTTAGAATGACAAGGCATCATGGAAGCTGTGGTTTTAAAATATCTGTGGATCTACTTCTTGGGCACCCCTGCCCTACAAGAACTTGAATGGGGAATGAGGACGTTAGATCTACTCAAAAAGACGTGGCAAGTTAAAGGGTTGGGGGCTTTGGGTGATGGGAATTGACAAGAAGTTTGACAATCGATTGGGAAACAAAAAATAAAAAGTTTAACAAAAATCAAAAATGCAAGAGCCTGCCCCATGTTTTCCTTGGTTAATAATCACAACAATAAGCTATTTTAGTTTTTTGGAGTGCTTCTTTAAGGGGGAGAGTTCCGTATGACTATGATGAATAAAATAGAGCTGGCACAGAATTATGGAGAATGTAGTTCTACAACAGCTGGAGGGCCAAGGTTGAATACCCCCTATAATTGCCTGTTAGCAAAATAATCTTTTGCTGCACGCAATGCTGAATTCCTGGAAGTAAATGAGGACCCCATAACGGATTGCTTCCATTGACAGATGAATAACACCAAGATATATCATCACTCAAGCATTAAGATTCTCTGTGGCTAAATATACACATTTTGTTTGCTTTTTTATTCAAAACACGGCTATATATTGGGGAGGGAAAAGTTATTTTGGATAGGCTCAGACATGGACCAATCCGGGTTGCCTGGCAACCGGACGGCCTGCAGTCTACTGATAACAGGCATCACTTCCATGGCTGAATGGGCTGGAAGCAGAGAGGCTAATCAAGGGAGGGAGAGTGGGCTTTGCACTGCCATTCCAACAGAACTGCTCAAAAAAACCCTCTGGCCGTAACATGCCACTGAGTTCCGTGGGAGGGAGCACAACGTAAGGTGACAAGTGCCGACGAAGCAAGGGGACAAAATGTCCGACAGATGTAGCATTCATTCAAAATGGTTGTCAGCGAGAGAAAGCCATGCAGATACAGAGTGTATACAATATATTAACTGATAGTTTGCACAAAAAATGCATCTCTCTTTATCATTTTAAGAACAAAGCTGTTTATATAAATAGATGTCCACACACAATTATTTTATTTATTTAGCATTTACGTATTCTGCTATGCTCTACAAACAAAGTAAATGATAGTAGCAAGTGACATGCTGGCAAACAAACAATATGCAACAAGTCTGCTTAAACCCTAAATGGAGGTTATCACACATTATTAAGAATAATAATGTATATATATATATATATATATACACACACACACACACACACACACACTACTGTATACAGCATTTACACATTCTTAAAACAAACATAGAAAGACAGAAAGAGTCCAACACGCAAACACACAACTCACACTCCAACGAACATACACAGAAATAATTGTTCTGCAAGGCACTGGGTTCACCTTGGACACTTGGAAAAAGGAAAGTGTGCCAATGCTGGGGAATCACAGGGTTAAATTTGATCTCTATGAGCAAATCAGACAGATACACGCCAGTTTATTCACACATGAACGTTGTCTGCAAAATGAACACACACACATACACACAGATTTTCCAGTGTGCAGCTGCTGCCCAGTTCGCATCTTGCAACAAAATTCCAAACATGGTCAGTTGGCCAGGAAACATTAGCGTTTACTCAAGAAACAGTGAGTTCTGGCAAACTGAAAACAAAAATTGCAAGAATTAGATAAAAAGATCAGAGATAGAAAAAAATAATAATAATCTAATTCAGCTGTGTTGAAGATCCCCCAAATCATTTATTTCAATCAAAATCTTGCAAATCAGCCATCAGCCCACTACTCACTGGTTAGCAATAACACCCATAATTGATATAGCCAACAGAGGTGAAAGGGTTACCAACTGCACCTGGTGGCCCCCCCTTCACCCCACATAATAAACCCCATTAATGCTTTTGTTACCCAGCGGCTGAGGGGCTAATAGATTTGATAATTACAGTCATTTAACGGAGTTGCACACAGCTGCCTATTCTAATAAGCTATTGCTAGTACATTATTTTTAGAAAGGCAGAAGCCTTAGATTTCATGGATTTACTAGAAAATGAAGACAACCAAAACATGGAAAAAAAATGTATATTAAAAGAAAGATAAAAAAAAAAGATTTAATTGAAATACAAGCATCAATGTATAAAAACAAAAATATGTTATTCACAGTAAATACAGTCATTTAATGTTCATGTATTTTATTGAAAAAAAATTAAATACAGTAACAAAAGTTAGTTTTCATGTTCAAGGGACACCTCTTTGTCAGTCTGTTAAAAAGCTAATTTCCTAATTTTGTATAGTTCATCTAAAAGAATATGAACGTTGAAGCCTCGGAAAGACGCTGATTAAGGTAGAATATGGTACAGGAGCCCCCTGGTGGTACAGATGAGGTAACAATAGCTTCAAATCCAGCATCAATCTACAATCCACTTGTACGGATGAATCTTATTCCTGCACTTTCTGGTCCTTTTAACACTGTGGTGGTGCACGTGGACATTCGTTAAACCTTAAAAATATGTTGACATTGGCTTGTGGAGTGTTTATACCAGGTCAAGAGCTATTAATACAGATTTTGGATGTAAAACTCCAACACAATTGGAGATTGACTTGGTTGGACAACCTAAAGCTTTAAGGGGGAGCTCATTTTTGAGTCAACATCATTGCCCGGAAGAGGTTATTGTGGAGGTAATGAAGTTAGAATACAGGTTCATCCTATTATGTCTTACAATGTGTGAACGTTAAACAGGGACTTGGCTAATCTCTGTAGGAGTTTCTCAACGTACTGGAGATCTCTTCATTAAGCCATTGTAGCTTGGCATGTCCATACCATCCAGGCAGCCACAGAGACTGTCTCCAAAGTTCGGTGATCCATATGATAAATACACTGATAGCGTTTACTACTCTGACGTAGCTATGAAATGTGGGAAACAGGAGGCCTAGGCTTTATTACCCATTCTCCAGTAGGGTTCACATTTTGTAAGTCCACCAAGTAAGTATTAGGATCCAGGCACCGCTCACCTACACAAAGACAGATTAGGAACAATCAGGTGTGTTATCCATGAGGTGGCACAGACATATACTACTGGATTGACTTGGGCAATACTTACTGATATTCCCTCCCACTTCATACAAGTCCAAGTTAGGGAACTCAAAAGAACCATTACTGGAAAACACAGCAAACATAGAAATTGTTTAGAATCAAAAAAAGTAAAAGAAAATCAGATAAAGTCATGACTAAACACAGAGGGATATGGGACAAAGCACTCACGAGAGACTGTTTGGTACCTCCCAAAATGACAACTGTGGGATTCAGACATCATCTTGTTCATAGTGTGATCTATGGAGGCTTCCGTGGTTTCACGAGATCCTCCTTATAACTCAATGTTGTACTATTGCGCATGTGTTAGGGTATAGCACTGATGAAGCTCCTGGCAGATGAAACACCAGGGCCACCAGGATGAAGATGGCAGCAGCTATGAGGGACATCTGCAAGTAAGTAATCTACCTTTAACTGCACCCCATGAAGAACACAGAACTCTAACCGGAGAGGACACCTTTGAGGGTCTTTACAATATATGCAAAGACCCCCAAAAGTGATAGATTCACTTTAAAAACAGCCTACTAAATACACCAAGAGAGGGAAAATGGAGAGCAAAGAATGCTACATTAGTAGGAAAAGACAGAAGGGAAACAAATAAAAATGAAAGATTCAGAATGTCAGGATTTTGAATTCAAATGACCACATATGGGTAGGGGTTGTTTTTGGTAATCTGGACAAGGGCATTCAGACTTTAGTGAATAATAGTCAGGCAGCCTTCGTACCAGAATCCATATAATTAGTAACACATATCCTCTAACAATGACCACTACTAGACAAATGTTCATTCCAGACAAATGAAAAGGACATGCAAGTGACACAACTGATGCCTAATACAGGGAAGTATTCTTCAAGACAGGGAAAATATTTATCAAAGAAAATATGAACATATTTGGTGTCATCAGAAATATGAGTGTCACTTTTCTCCCCTTTCTTGTATCACACCAAGGATAGGCAACTTCGGCACTCCAGATGTTTTTGACTACACCACCCACGATGCTTTGCCAGCATTAAGACTGTAAGAGCAATATGGGAGATGTAGTTCACAACATCTGATGGTTGGCTACCCCTGTACTACACCATCCCTTCTTTATCTACCCTGCTTTAATCTCCTTCATTTATTATATTATCACCATTTTGTTTTGCCACCTAGTCCCGGTTTTTGTCCTCCACTGCTATAGGAAAAGTTGCCCTGTGTCACCACCTACCTCCGTTGACTTGTTTGATGAACCCACATTCCTATATATGTGGTTATGATCTGTATTGATTATCTTTTTTCTTAATTTATGTTTACTTCCTTGTTCCCAATAGGTCTTACGGTTTTATAACATTTGAATAAAAAAAATTTAAAAAATGAGCGGATGCATAAAAAGATAAACAGATGCTAAAATTACTAAACCTATAATGGGAATACCGCGAGTCGAACAGTAAGAGTTAGTATGTACCATTTCATTAGAGCTGCACTATTCACCCACTGCCATAGATGCTGGGTGACTTGTTTTCGAAATTGTTGCAGGACGTCTTTCGCTTTTAACCCCTCGTTCAGCTCAACATGCAGTGTTTCTTTCAGAAAGAGTGAGCACCCAACCTTCACATGTTTAGAAGCCTAGAGACAGAGATAAAAAGAAAAAGAAGAATATAGATGGGTGAAAATTGTTTTTAATTTTTTTTTTTTATAATTTACATAAAAAGATTCACAATTTCCATGGACTGGAAAGCAATTGTAAACCCTTGACATGTATGCATTGAGACACACATCACATATAATAAGCCGAGAAATTAAACAGACGATACAAACTGCATACAAAACAAATTATCCAAGGAAATACAAGGCAAAAAACAAACAAACATACCCTTGACATGAGGCAATTTGACAGGTTCTCAAAATAGATAACGTATTTAAAATTTCCAAAAAGGAGATCTAACAAAGTGAGATACTGTATGAACAGTCTATGCGAATTTGAGGGGATTTCGATTACTTGTTGTGTTTGGGAATCTGTACATTGAGAGGAAATGCAGTTAGCCCACGTAAATTAAATTAACTACGCAGGCCTAGAATTCAGGAACAAGCTGCCGCCACCTTGTGGAAAGTTAAGTAGGAGGAACAATACTCCTAATACAACACAGTACTTTATCCAACAGAAGTATCATAGAAGTATCTAGGCCACTTGCTATCAGCTTGTTTTTAAATGTGGCAAGTTATATTGCCTCAGAAACAGTGAATGTCATATAGCTTCAGTTTGTTAAAAACAGTGGGGTTCATTCACTAATCTGGAAATTCTGGAGAACCAAAATGGGTAATTGTATAAATTAATTAAGAATGAGTAAGAGTTTAGTCACAAGGTAATATCACATTTTTTTTTTTTTTAAATCGCTGAACCTGAATATTTGTTAGTTTAACTAATCTGACCTAAAGTATGGAATTTTACAGTGACCAAGGTAAAAAATGTTGAACTATATATTAATTAGATGTAAACATGCAGAACATCTAGTTATGTAGAATATTTTTTAAACGGTTTCAAAATGTAACACCCGAGGAAGAGTTCTATTGATAAATTAAAAAAATATAGAAACATAGAATGTGACGGCCGATAAGAACCATTCGGCCCATCTAGTCTGCCCAATTTTCTAAAATACTAAAAAAAAAAGGTGTAGGCACACTGAGAATGATTAAAAGGTTACTACAATCATCATAACCACTACAGGCTGCTGTAGTGGTTATGATGCCAAGAGTACCCTGGCCTGGTTCCCCAGTAATGGAGCTAAGCATGTAGCGATGGTTTGCCCTCTTACCAGTGTCCCTGAGGGCTCAGAGTTTCCTGGAATGGCCAGTGACTTAATTTCGTCTTCTGCAGCAGTGGAAAAATCGATTCAGTTGACACTGATTGGCTGACTGCTCTCAGCCAATGAATGGCACACCATGCCCAACAAACTAGCATAGAATGGACGTTAGCCAACCCAGAACTTTAGTTCTGGGCTGGCAGTTGACTTTCTATGATGCTGACAGAGGGGCAGTTACACCTCTGGCAGCCAAAGAATTAAACTCCAGGCACCATGAGCATTTCGAATCATGGAATGGGTCATGTACTTGAAGTAATGCTTTAAATGTTTAGATGTAAGAATTACATCACAAGGATTATTCAGTAAGCTATGAATTGTGGAAAATGTACAAGGTTTTAGGCCTGAACATTTTAATTCCTTTATCAATGCACCACAATAAAATATAAAATGCCATTGCTGCAATGACTAATGTTTTCTTTCAGGCAGTAGGGTGCAATATCCGTCTACCGCAAGATGGCCGCAGGCATTCGGGAGACTTGTACAACTTGTGATTTTTACCAATCAATTTTAGGGAATTTTTAGACAGATGGGGTGAAATGCCTCTGCCGCACTGCTATAGTAGGTAGCTGTCACTAAAGCTCACCTCTGTATGATTCTTCTCGTTTTTTTCTTTATCCGTGTGGATTTTGCGTAAAAAATTTCGTATTCTGCGGTCGCC